ACAGATGGTTATGGTTACCCAGGGGGAAATAATGGAGGGGAGGGATAAACTGGGAGATTGGGGCTGGCATATACACACATATGTAAAATAGAGAGCCAATGAGGACCTATGGTAGAGCACAGGGAACTCTTCTCAATATTCTGTAATAACCTATATGAGGAGAGAATGTAAAAAAAGAGAAGATATTTGCATATGTATAATTGATTCACTCTGCTGTACTCTTGAAACTGACACAACATTGTAAACCAACTATACTCCAAAAAAAATTTTTTTTAAAGAAATTTTTCTGGAGATTCTCCTTCCAAAGTAGCTCTCATTAGAGTTAGAACTCACCCCCTCCTACTCCTGTGAGTGAGTGCATTAATTAACCTTTGGACCACCCTGTAAAACAAACTCTAAAGAAGTGTCCTACATCTACTTAGACAATTTTATAACTCAGGAGAGTTTCATTTAATGCAATGCTTTAAATAATTATTCCCCATGAAATATAAAGACAAGCAGAATTGACTCTACGGAGTCTGGCTAACATACCAGTCAGGGTCGTGAAAGTTTCTTTAATATTCATCTGTGACCAGTCATAGCAGACTTGAACCAAATCAAGAATTTTTTATAACTGCCTTGATAGCACTACCTGGCCCATCTTGCCAAATGCAAATCATTTTTATTGTCTTGGTGAACCGAACCAACTTTTTAAAAGCTTGAACTCATGGCAAACCTACATATTTTCTAAAATTTTAAAAATCAGCAGAACTCAGAGCTCCAAAAAGTGTTCCCGGAACCATTATGTCATTTAGTAAAACATTCGCCTTCATTCATTCAATAAACCCTGTGCTTACTGAGCACCTTCTAAGGACATGCACTGTTCAGAGCACTAGGGATACAGTTCAGAACCAGATGGAACAAAACTTTGCCCCCTGGGCTTCCTGTCTCTTGCACACATGCAAGCTAAGTTGCTTCGGCCCTGTCTGACTCTGAGACCTCATGGACTGTAGCCCGCCAGGCTCCTCTGTCCATGGGATTCTCCAGGCAAGAACGCTGGAGTGGGGTTGTCATGCCCCCCTCCAGGGGATCTTTCCTAATCCAGGGATCAAACCCATGGATCAAACCTATGTCTCTTCTGCCTACGGCATTGGCAGGCAGATTCTTTACCACTAGCGCCACCTGGGAAACCCTTATCCCAATGCTAATCCCTGCCTTGATTTACATGTAAAGTGAGACCCCAGAGCTATTGGTTTGGAGTTGAACTCAGTAACTCAGGTATCTCATTTGATGGCCTTTGGTGGAAGCCTCGAAATATCAATAAAAACGGGGCATAGCCAAAGCAATCTTTTTGGAAGAGAGTATGATGGCGTTGGAGACTTGTTGCCTAGCAGGCATGCTATTTTTACCAAGATGGCATGTTACAAGATGGATAAAAATAGCAAAAGTTTTCTGGAAAAAAAAAATTGCTTTTACTCACACTTTCTCTAAGCTTGGGAAAATATTATTTGTTCAGATCAAATAATAGACGCAGATGGTTTTAATTTGAACTGACTGCAGGACATAGATGGATATTATCGGGGACCAGAATCCATCCCCTCATTCTAGTGTTCTTGATCTGACTGTCTCTTTAAGTGAGCTAAGAGAATTTACGGTAGAGGAGACCTGGGTGTCAGGTCGCTCAGAAATCAATTTGCCAATGTCTATTTGAGCTCAGATCAGCTGAATTGAACTAGAGATGTAACTATTCCCCCCACTTTTTTCCCCAGTATTGTTCTTCCACATAGCTCATATGGGACTTTGAGCAAGTTACTCCACTCTGAACCTCTTGCACAATATGATCACAAAATTCCCTTCTACTCTAAGACTTTATATTATTATTCCACCCTTGCCTGGTTCAAGATACTAGCCTGAAATGTCTTTTGCTTCAGATGACAATTTTTTATTTTAAATCAATTTAGAAACCCATGGGCCCAAGGACAATCTCTTTCACCTGGTTTCTGTTCCCGTAAGTGACACAAACCCCAAATTCTTAATAAAACAGTGAACATTCTGCAGTAGTGGCTTTTAGACAGTGATCCTTGGACTTCAAGGATCTGCCATCCACCAATCTGGGAGACCACTGGCAAATCACATAAGCTCTCAGGATCTCAGTTTCTTTATCTATAAAATGGGATGACATAGATTGAGCTGCTATTCAGATTAGAATGAAATTAGGGATCCACTTCCTGGCCCATAGAAAGTGCTCATTTAATTCAGCTATTCTCCAAGGAGATGAACAACATCGTCTTTTCCCTCTTAGTTGTAGTGTATTTTAATAATTCTGTTTGGAGAATTTCAGGAAGGTCTTGGGGCATGTTGGGATCTATGTTCAGCATCAATGGTGTGTGCTGAGATCCAGACAAAAAGGTCTTAACTCGCTGTTGATTAAGGAGAAGGGAGACTTAGTTTCCCGTGCTGTCCATGTTGCAATTTTGAATCCCAAAGAGTCATTACAGAAAAAGCATATGATTTCCCCCTTTCTACACTTAGCCAGGGATGGCATGTAGAGGTAAATTTGGGCAGTATTGCCTTTGAAAGAGACATTTGAATCTGGCTCAGCTTTCATCAGAGTCGGGAAATCTGCCTTCCCTCTAATTGCTTCCTTCCTTCTAAGACCTAAAATTTCCTTGGCACTCTTCTGCTACTTGCAAGGGAAAAATCAGTTTTACCTTCTCTTCAAAGTGGACTGTGCCTCAGTGGAACTGTCTACACAGGACAGAGAAGTCCCTAACCCTAGGAGTAATTTAGATCTGCAAGTCCAGCCCCAAAGGCGAAGCCACCTCACACTGCCCTCTGCCCGCACCCGGGAAGGCACTGACGTGGCAGACACGTGGCCCCAGCCCCACCCCACACCCATTTGGGATGACTTCACTGCCCAGTTGCTTTCCTGGAATTCTCAAGCCCGAGATCATATTCCCCACACCCACCCCTGGGATCTTTTACATTGTCTTTTGGCTCCTCTCTCTTCCCATTGCTAAACAAAGAGAAATCCAACCGGAAAGACTAGAAGGGGTAAGTGGCTGATGTGGTGGAAAGGAGGGGGCGAGGGACACTTTGCAGCCCTCTGACTTTCCCTAAATTGGCCAATTTCACATCAATAAGTGCCTCATCCATCACCACCACCTTTCAGGTGATTTTCTGTGATGGAATTTCGGGAGGGGAGGCACTTAGCATCTTCTACACGATTCCTTTACAAAGTCAGTTTTTCCATCATCAGGCATTCTCAGCGCTCAAATAAAAACAGGCAGAGCTTGCTACTAAAATAGCTCTTTTTACATAAGGTCCTGCAACCCAGAAACTCCTTTCAGGGACTTATACACTTTCTTGAGTCAAAAAGAAAAAAAAAGCAAGCTAGACAGACTTCTAGTCCAGTGAGGACTTAACCTCCCCCATGAGGGAGGAAACTACACAATTGGCTGTCAGGCCTGATTCTGCTTCCTTGCTGTTTGACCTTAGGGAAGTGACCTCACCTCTCTGAGCACCCTTTTTATTTTCTATGACATGGGGATAATAATAATACCCCATCTATTGCCTCAAGGGCCAAATGAGGATCAGAGTATTTTCGACACTGTCAATACTTTATAACAAAATACAAGGGATTAAGAAAGGGTATGGTATAAATGAAGTTAATCACTGACTTTAGATGACTCTTGCCCCTCTCATCTTCTTTTTAAAATTACAGTTGACTTACAATATGTTATTAGTTTGAGGTGTACAACATCTTTTTTTTTAATATAGAAGAGCTCTTAATAACTAATAATAAGTATAAAATTCTAGGTAATTAGATATTACATCATAATTGGCAGTTTTTTATTTTAAAGTAGAATATAAAATGCATATTATAGTTGGTGGCATCTTTGTTTCGTTGAAATACATTACATATATTTAACACAACTCTCTCTCTACATATATATATGTTGTAACTCACTCTTTTCACTTAACCTTTTATGTCAGTATTACTGCAAATCGACCCAAGCCTCACACAGTAAGTCAGCGTCACCTGCTTCATCCTTGTTTAGGTGTATAATTGTTACCTCTCAACAAGTGGGAAACTACATAAAATATAAACATAAGGCACTTATTTTAAATCAAAGGCTCTTGATAGAAGGGGCAGAATGCAATGGAAATTGCTGGAACTGACATGGCTTTCCGGGCTCTGAGCTCCCCAGCTGTGTAATTCAGCCTTGCCTTGCCCCCTTTCTGGGAATTTCACTGTCCTAGGTTTGTTTTTCTGCTCTGAGAAAACCAGAGAAATCACAGTTCCTGAGTTGCGGGATCGCTCTGAAGGTAGAGTGCAAAAGGGAGTGAAGGGTGGTTGTCCAGGCAGGAGACAGCTCAGGACCTCAGTTTGAGAGCAACCTCCCCGCAGCTCACACCCGGGCTCAGGCCCCAGAGTCCTCATCTGGAAAACAGAAACACTTCCCAGAGCCGGTGGGAGGAATAAACAAGCTCCTGTGGGTAGTACCTGGTTCGCACACCTTAGTGCCGGGGCTCCAGGTAAATCCTTGGCCTCTGGGAGGCACTATTGTCTTTTATACGGACTGTGGAATTGCGAGGTCGCAAGGTCGCGTCCCAGGAGGGCCAAGGCCTACCTTTGCCACCTGGGGAACATTAAAGAATAAACCTAAATTCCCTTAATTCAAATGGAGATGGTAACACCTCCCAGGCAGACGGTGGTGAGACTTCAAGGAGTGTGTAAATCGCTGAGCACCAGTGTCTGGCACTTGGGATGCTCTCAATAAAAGGGGACTGTTATTATCTGCTTGGCTTGCTCCTCTGGCCGTAGAGGTGTAAGTTTAATGACGGGGAAGGGGGTGGGAACGGGATGCGGGGCGCCTGGTCGGCTGAGATGTCCTAGGCCAGAGGAGCGGGCCGGGCCGGTGTCAGCGCGCATTTATTGATGGCAGGTATTTGGGGAGTAATTGAGCGCGGCGGCCGGCCCGGGGCGAGAGTGGGCCTCCACGAGCAATTAAATGTGATTAGGCCGAGACCTTCGGGATCCAGCTGGGTGATTGATAACCCGGCCGCATTCCTGCCGGGCCCGGGACATCAAACGGGCGGCCGGCGGCGGGCGGGGCGGAGGGGCTGAGCGCGGGGACCTGGCCCTTCTCGGCCGGCGCTGCCCTTCTCGCCCGCGACGCCCACGGTTCCAGGGAGAAGCCCAGCGACTTGCCCTCCCCCCTGCCCAGAGGCCTCTTCCTTGCTGGCTTGCCAGGTGCAGCAGGGGCGGGGAGGGCACCGAAGGGAGGTGGTCGCCGGGAGCCCCCCTGAGCGAGGGCGCAGCGTCCGAAGGAGCGGGGCCAGCGGGGGCTGGCGGGGTTCCTGCGATCAGTCGGGCACGGGATCGCTGGAACCGGGGAAGAGAGAATAAAAACACAGAACGAGAAGGGGGCAAGTAGGTAGGAATAAGAATAAATAGAAAAGGAAAAACTATTGAGAGACACGTGGAGAAACAAAATCACAGGAAAATGAAGACAAGAGGAAGAAAAGAGGAAGTTAAGAATGAGACCCTGAAGAGGAATTGTATGGACTGACGATAAAGAGAAAAAAATTAAAAAGAGAGTGGGACAGACCTGAAAAAGGTTGAAAGCAGATAAATAAAAGAGAGCAAAAGATTAAAAAAAATAAGAAAGTGAGGAGTGGGCTTAAGATAAGATGGCGCATGAAAGACAAAAAAAAAATGGGGGCAATAAGGGAGATAAAGATAACATGAATCTGAGCAAACTCAAATAGTGAGATAGTGAAGGAAGGGGAAGCCTGTTGCCCTGCTCTCCATGGGGTCACCAAGAGTCGGACACGACTGAGTCAGTCAACAGCAACAACAAAGGTAACTGGAAAGCCCAAAGGAGGCAGCGCTGGCCGGGCGCCTCGCGCGCTGTGTCTGCACCCCCACCCCAGCCCTGCCTCACCCTCAGCCAGTTCTCTGCCCGGAGCTCAGCGCTGCCTGCTGCCGGGGAGACCTGGCATGTGCCCCCAGCAGCCTGACTCTGGCCCAACGATAGCCCCAGGCCAGCTCCTTGCCCCTCCAGGCTGGACGAGGGGCAGCTCCCCCCGCCGCAGGGCCAGAGTGAGCAGCGGGCTCCCTGCACCCCAAGTCGGGCCCCATACGCCATAAATCACAAGAGGAGGTGCTGGGGGGCTCCCGGGGCCGTTGTCATCGTCGTCTCCGGAGCCAGGGCACAGTTTCTGTCTGTGCTGACTCCACAGACAGGATCAAAACAGCATGAAAGAAATCAGAGCGAGAACGTCGGCGGCGGGAGCTGGACTTCTAAAACCCCCTTCCGCCCCCATAGGCTTCAATATTAAAAAACCCCCTAGGAGCCTCAGACACTGTATTAATTAGTGCAACCACCCATGAAAAGTTGGGTTTGGAGCGGCATTCTTTGCCCTGTGTGAAAAACCAAGTCTAATAAACAATTGTTAAGTTGGCCTGTTGCCGCTGGTAAATTACATAGCATTAAAAAAATAATGCTTTTCATATTAGGCACTAATTAAAGGTTGGGACAGCTTTAAAACAAGAGAGGGAGGGGGGAAATCAAAGAAAATATAAAAATGTTCTTTCAAGAGTTATGAGAGGTTAATAAAGTAGGTCTGTTAGAGTGAGCCTACTTTGCCCCTAGCTACAGCCAAACTGGAGCCACCACAATTGGGTCTCAATAAGATAATGATATTCCTTTCTCTGCTATTAAAAGCCTCCCAGTGCAAACTTAAAATGATTTATTTAATTTAGGAAATTATGAGGTGTAACTTCAAAGCCCGAGCCGTTAGTAATGGAAAATACCAGGTTGTTTAAAATTATAATAATAATTGTTTGGAGGACTCAGGACATCAAAGTGTTTTCATCAACAAATGCAGAGGGGTCCGGAGGAGGTTGGAAAGAGTCAGAGGAGGTGGATGGAGTTTGGATTTGATTATTATGAACCTTATCAGGGCAGGATTCAGGATTCCCGCAGCCGGGCACTCTGTTCTGCTTTGAAGCAGGCTATTTTGGAAAGTAATTTTACTGCTTTTTATTTAGTTCCTAGCAGGGAGGGAGGTGAGAGGGTTGTCGGGGGTGGGAGAGGGGTGGAGGGTCCAGGAGTTGACAGCAGACTTTTCCTCATTGCTCTCTGACTGATTTCATTGATTTCATTAAGGAAGCCTACAGCATCACCAATCTTGAGATTTCTTTTTTTAACTTACATTGAAGGGGAAAACAGGCACAATCAACTTCACCAACTGGGCCCTGTGACTTCAGGGAGGGGTGTGTGTGTGTGTGTGTGTGTGTGTGTGACGTGGGTTCTTTTATAAATGAGGTTTATGTTTATTCCAAACCCAGCACTGGAAAAGGATTGGGGGTGGGGAGGTGGCCTCTCCAACCCGTGGCAAATGAGCCGCTTTTATAGCAAAGAATGGCCGTGGGAGTTTTCATTCGGTCAGACAAGGTTCTGCTCAAAGGCAGGGATCCTCTTTTCAGTCGGGTCAGGCAGACGTTTCACCAGCGCCTGCTCTCAGCCAGCCGGGCCTTCGCCGCTTACCTCCTGCCGGCCCTGCTCCTCCCCAGGGCTGCAAGGGGGAGGAGGCTGGTCAGGCTGAGCCTCAGGTCCCCTGTGATGGAGAAGCTGGCACCCTGGGTGAGGAGCCCCTCACAGCAATGAGGGGTGGGGAAAGGGATGCAGAGAGGGACTCCAGAGCAGGGCTGTGCTGGGATCTGGGCTGGGGGTGGGGTCTGGAGAGCTCCCTGGGGTCCTTCATCTCTCAACTCCTCTGAGACAGGTCCCTCAGGACCCCCTTTGCCAGACTTCACCCCTACCACCAGGCTCACACTTGAGCCTGAATTCTGCTGCTGCCCTTTATGGCCTGTGGGACCTTAGTGAGACCCTGGGCCTCAGTTTCCTCACCTATAAAATGGCATCAATAATACCCCCCCCCCAGGGGGGTGTGCAATGACTAGATGAGATGAGCCCGAAGATGCCTAGTACCATACTTAGTAGGAGCTCAATACATAGGATTCCCTCTTCTTTCCGTCCTCCCTGCTTCCTGAGAGCAGAACCGTCTTGCTGGGAAGTTTTAGATAGAAGCCTTAAGAATTACAGAAGGGAGGGTGGAGCTGTGTACCAGTCTCCCGACAGCGCAGGCGGCTGTGGCCAAAGCCGGCACACGGACATCTTCGGTTTTCATTTCCAAGGCGCGCTGCGCGGGTCCTTGGTGACTCAGGGCCCTCTGTCACCGCAGGTTGTTGGTCTGGTCCCTGAAACGCCTGGCATACCAAGCCCGACATATGCAGAGATCCTGGCGACTGCCAAACCTAAGGCGGGGCCGGCAGTTCCGAGGGAGCCCCAGAGCACCGCGCACCGGCAGCGCCGCGCACCTCTGGCCGTGGTCTGGACCCCGGTAACCCGGCCACGTCCTCGACTAGGGGGTAACCCCATCCACCCAGGAGCCCCAGGGTGCATGTATTGGAGCCCGAGCGACTCTTTTCCCCCTCCCGGCCTCAGTTTTTCGTGGGATTTAGGGCGATTGAGGAAATGCGCAGACGCTTAGACGGTTTCCAATCCGCCCCGCTGACCACTCAGGACGCAGCCCGGATTCTCCGAAAACCACTCTGGCCAGTGACCCCCTCCTCTCTGGGGCAAGCTGACTCTTAACCCAGAGGCGGCAGTGTCTCCGGATCCCTTATCCTGGGCTGAGATAGCCGGAGGTTGGGGTCTGAGAGGCCCCGGGAAAGAAGCTCGATGGGCTGGTTCATTAGGGACCCAGCTTGGCGGCTGATGATGAAACTGGGAAGGGCTTCGGCCTTCGGAAAACGCATCCCGTAAATGAGATGGCCCAGCGGGACGGCTAGGGCACAAGTTCGGGGAGGTTTGAGACGCCCCTGCAGATCACTCCAGCTCCGAGTGCAGTGGAGGAGCTGGGAGAAATCGGTCGGACCCCCAACTTTGGAGGAGATCCTTCGGTTTGGATCACACTTCTTAGTAGAAACTCACTGCCCGACCTTGGGAGCCTCTGCCCGACCGGAAAATGGAGTTTCCGGAGCCCACCTCTAAACCGGGTGTGGGCACAAAGGAAACGGACGAAAGCGCTAGTCCTAGTAGGTGTCAGGTTCCAGTCCCCCCACCACCAAGCTTTCCGCTCCCTTCCGACTTGTTCCCAGGGTCACCGGAGCCCCTCATCCGAAAACAGCCCTCGGAAAGGTATCATCAATGGCCGCTTGGTTTCTTTGTGCAACAGAAAGCGGAGTTTGATTCTTCCCCGCTTCCTCTACCCATTAGCAATTTATTTTCATGGTGATGCTTCAAAACCCAAGCCTGACCCCCGTTCCGTAGCCAGGGGAAAGAGAGATTGCAAAGCAAAGGGCACTTGAATGGACTACCTTCCCGCTACAAACCGAAAAGAGCATTTGTTCAAGATCGATCTCCTTGGAAGGCAGATAGGAATGGTAAACGGAACGTGATTTGACACAGTCCTGAAAGGGCAACAGGCATCCATCTATCCTGCACCCAACCCCCCAAGCGAATGCATCCAGTTACCATCTCCATTTGCAAAGAACTATATAGGTCCGTTCCCTCAGCTTGTTTTGTTTAGCTGAGATTTCAAGTTCAAGATTTTTCCCTTGAAAAACCCTTCAGATTCTGGCCTATCCCTGGGCCCTGCCACTTCTAAGCTCATCTTTCACTGATTTGAAAAACTCCTAATAGCAATTTTCTGTGAGTAACACAAGCTGCTAAAGGAAGCAGTTCAAAGTCTTTTGCTGTTTTCAATGGACTTCCCTACCCCGGGCTGAATCTGGCCACAGCTCTTGATTGATTCACATTAAAATCATCATAAAAATTACCAGGCCCCCTCCCCCATCTGGGTGGCATTTCTGGGCTGAGTCCAGCTAAACAACACAGAGCGCCTCTTAAAAATAATTGTGACTTTGGACAGACTTTACTGCAATAAAACAAACGTTTAATTTAATTCAGAATAAGAGATAAGAAATAACTCTTCAATAAAATATATAAAATTATACAAGGCACCCTTTCAAAGGGATAAAAGTATACTTGGGGCAGGGAGGGGGGCTGGATAGAAAGATTAAATACCAAGGAGCTATATGGGCTGTCTGACAACACCGTTTTTTACCAAGTCAAAACATGGCTTTACCCTCTGCCCCCAACATGTTAAAAAGTATATCAATTTTTCTAGTAAGTTTAGCACATACAATAGGTACACACAGAGAAAGCATGATTTTCTTCCTTTTGGATCTATTCATTGTTCAAGAATACTTAGCATATAGACAATGGTTACAAAATACTCATTTTTTTAAAGCAGATAATTAACTACACCCCTCCCCCAATTGCCTTTGCAATGCGTGAGGACTGACGTACCTAGTGGTTCACAGAAACATCAATTCCTCCCAACACGCTCTAACTTTTCACTCCCCAGTTATCGGAAATGAAGTTAAGCAACAGCCTTGAGAGGAATTAGGAAGGACCTCCGTTTTCCACCTTACCCCTGAGGACTCTTAGGAGTCTCATCTCCTTTTACTGATCTTACAAAAACTTTTAATAATGTGTAACAAACAAGGTGGAGAGGGGGGAAAATATAGGGCCAAATAGGGTCATGCCTGGTGAGTTTTCAATGTATGTGAGTTTTTAATGCACATGAAAAATGCAAAAACATGGTGTGTCCCTTCCCTGGGAGGAATCTCTCCATATCTACTCCTTATGCAAGTAATGTCTAATTCTAACGTTTGTTTTCCATAAGCTAAAGTCAGTTATTCCATCCAAATCACCAGATTTCAGCAATTTTAGCAAATAATTTGTCTCCCCCATAAGAAAATAAACAACAGGTAGACTTAAGCAGTCTTTTAGGAAGGTGATATATAGAGAAAAAGGATATATATATATATATTTTGCCTTTCAAAATAATTTGATTTTTATGTCTGCTGTATAAAAATGTATTATATTTTATTATATATATATTTATATATAAAAACCATCAGAGCCAATCTTTATGAAAGGAGAAGGGGGGGGGGTCCGCATCTGGTAGATTAACCAAGAAAATGGGGCTTGGGTGTCTCCAGTCAAAAGAAGCAATTGGAACTATGTCTGTGGCCCTGTCGACCTAGCCGCTGAGGGTGGTGCATGCAATGTTTGCAGAGCGGGACTGTCTTCTTGGAGAGGGAGGGGGGAGGCTTTTAAACAAACATCCGTCCTGGAGTCTATTGAGTTGGTCTTCCTTAGGATAGGTGGTACATGCCATATCCCACTGGAGTTGCATAGAGTCCGACAGGCGGGATGGGGAGCACAGGTCTATGGAAAGGGTAAGATGCACCATATAGAGATGCTGCTTGCAGGGGAGAGTTGATGGGGAAAGGGAGGCTGAAGCCGGAAGGCAGCATAGGTTTTGCAGCCATTTTCAGCTTTTCCAGTTCTGCCTCCTGCAGTCTTTTCGCCTTGGCTCTTCGGTTCTGGAACCAGATTTTGACCTGGGTCTCTGTGAGGTTCAGAGAGCTGGAGAACTCTGCCCGCTCTGCGATGGAGAGGTACTGTTTCTGGCGGAATTTGCGCTCCAGAGCGAGGAGCTGGGACGTGGTAAAGGGTGTGCGCGGCTTCCGATTGGTCTTGTGTTTCCGCAGGGTGCAGGTGGTGGGGCTCATGTGTCCTAAGGAACAGAAATGGAGAGTGAGTTAGCAAAAGAAAGTGGCTTTGTCACCAGGTATGTCCATGTGGGCGGGAGGGAGGGGCTCCTCTTCACCGTTCAAAAAGGAACCTCGGTGAAACCATGAATGGTTGATGTGTTTTTTGGTGGTGGAGGGTTGAGAAGGACCAAACTTTAATGGATTTGTTGTTTTGCTTTAAAAAATTGAAACTTTTTACAAAAAGTTGGGGAGTTAAATGGTGTCACAGAATTTTCTATATGGCAAACAAACAGCATTAGAGATCATGAAACATAAACAGATCCCTGATATGCCAAGAGAGCTGAGGGTTGTCTGAAAAACAAAACCCCGTCTCTTCCTGATGACTCATCTTAAGGGGGGGGGGTGTTTCATGATAATCCTCACATCCCTAGGATGCTGAAATAATCACATATGAGAAGGAAAACGAACAGGATCTTATAAACTGAGTTGGTCCCCTCTCTGTACCAGGAAATGTTGGGATTGCATCAGCATATTTATGGAGGATAATTGTGCCGATAAGGTCTGCGGTAAATTAATAGCATCTTTGGATTGGGGAGCAGCCTCATGCAATAAACAACCACACAGCTGTCGTTCCCTCCAGTCTACAGATTATAAAACCTGAACATCATTTCACAGAACTGGATGTGGGATAACTTTCTTGGCTGGGTGCTTCTGTAATATAAACTTTACAGAAGGAGGGAAAAATTAGCTTGCCCATAAATGTAAATGTCAGGGGAAATCATGCTGCCTCCTGAATTGAGAGCATGTGATGACATCTTAGTCATCTCTCCTACCCATTCTATGGTTTGGAGCAAACGTGTAAATGATTAGCTTGTTGCTGGAGTTTAGAAAGAAAGAATAACAAGCAAAATAAAGGTATGCCAATGGCATCCAGCCTCTACATTTAAAATGGATTCAATTATAGGAAGTCATAGGACTGAGCATCCTTATGTTTCCATAGAATCAACTAACTTTGGGCTCTTCCTTAAAGGGAATTGGGCCAGGGGGCGGAGGGGGGAGGTAAGGGACAGATGCTGAACAATTCATTTTCTGCATCTGGCTTTTATGAGCTATGCTAATTTTCCAAACGCAGCCACAGTAGTAAGCACCGCAAAGGGAGAATGCCGCATTTCTTGTTTAGTTACTTTGGTGCCCAAGGAAGTTTGCACTTCATAGTTGAGGGTGACGCAGCACAAGAGCCAACCCAGCCTCCCTTTCCAACAAGAAATGGACTTGTCCTAATGTGACATTATTAACCATCACTTTAAGTGATTAAAAAGAGGTAGTGGGTTCTGCACTCAGTCAAAAACCAGAAGTCTGGGCTATGGATGGCTAAGAAATTACCACAGGAGTGCATACTTTTGCATATGCTAATCCCTAAGTAAGCCAGAGAGCTAGGGGTGCCTACTTCTTAATTTACAAATAAAATAACAACAGAGACTCAGAGATCTGTGAAATTCTCACCCTTCAAAGACTTGACCCGGCTGCTTGGGAGAACCCAGTGGTCACAGCACAGACACCAAACTTTTAGAGTCTACACTTGCCCTGTTGAAAGGAACTCCATGCCTGGGCACAGTCATTCTGCTGATCCTAGGGCCTGCATTTGAATTATGAAGTCCAGGAGATGGGTATCTTGCAGTATATCAAAGCTATAAGGTTATGAGGCTTCCTACCGAGCATACCACTCCTCGCCCTCCCATCTCTACTCCATTTTAAGCCTGAAGGAGGAGATTATACCAAGCAAAAGGGCATAGGGTCCTACTGCCTATGAATTAACAAAACCCGGCCTGGGTAAGTGGCTCCCTCCTGCCCCAGCCTCTCGGAGCCCACTGCTTCTACCACAGGGCTCCTGAGGCCATCTCCAGGCCTAAACCACGACTGACCCACTCTTTGTTTTAAAGTTAAAACAAACTTTAAAGTTTATTTTAAAGTTAAATCCTTTCTCATAATCTCCAATTTTTCTCATGAGAAGGCCATATCCAGGGCTGCCTTACCTTGGGCCCTGGCAGGCATATTTACAGAACCCCAAGAACCTAAGGAAGTAGAAATCTCTGACCTTTGGACACTACTCCCTGTAAGGTCTGAATCATTGATGGAGGCTGGGAATTGACCCAGGCCTATGAATACACAAGACATGCAATATTTGTCAA